GTCTTTTCAGGAAAGCTAAGGACAGGCGTACCCTGCTCTTTGTTTCAGTCTGTTGTTTTGAGTGTCTTGCAAAATCCGGCAATGCTCTTTCATATTTTTTTTAATGCATGTTTGGTACCCTCCATTTTATTAAGCTTATTTTCAATAACTATACACCGACAGTGAAGTCCACTCTAATAAAGGGGTTCTTAAAAGGGAATTTCTTTGGTCACAGGCAGCCCATCTAATTGCATGGTTTGACACTAATGCAGTAAAGCAAATGTAAAGACACCAAAGCTTCGAACATATACATTTTTTTAAAGTCTATCATGTTATAATAATCATGTCATCATGTTAAATCATTATATCATGTCATAATCGTTTATTAAATGTTGATACGTTTGGAGCTTTGAAGTGTTTTCTGCCTTTACGCTTGCTTTTTTGTACTTTCATTTATTTATTTTGGTTAAACTGATTAGAGACTGATGTGTATTTCTTTTTACTTATGCATGCCTTGTCTACACCTAATACACACTCTGCTTCAGCTTTCCTTCCACATGAAGGAATTTTTAAAACTTTTTATTATTATTATTAAATCTTAAGCTTTTGAAAAACTCCAAAAGTAAATCAAATGCAGTTTACCTGTTGTAGCGAGGACCGTATATGTGGCTTTTAAAAAGTGAACAAAATCATTCAGCCTAAAGCAAACTAAAGCATCTAAACACTGGGGTACCTCAGGGCTCTGTTCTTGGGCCACTTCTCTTCTCCATCTACACAACATCTCTAGGACCAGTCATCCAGAAACATGGATTTTCCTACCCCTGCTATGCTGATGATACCCAGCTATACCTCTCTTTTCACCCTGATGATCCCTCGGTTCCAGCTCACATCTCAGCCTGCCTGTCAGACATTTCACATTGGATAAAAGATCATCATCTTCAGCTTAACCTCGCTAAAACGGAAATGCGGAAAGTTTCTGCCAACCAGACTACACCATAACTTTTCAATCCAGATGGATGATTTATGTGCCCTCCAGAAACTTGGGTTCAGTAAATGGACGTCGTCTCTTGGTTCCATCCCTAAGAGGGAAAAAAACACTTTCCCGAACTCTTGCATTCAATCTGCCCAGTTGGTGGAATGAACTCCCTAACTGCATCAGAACAGCAGAGTCATTTGCTGTCTTCAAGAAACGACTAACTTGCTTCGTTGTAAGTCGCTTTGGATAAAAGCGTCTGTTAAATGACTAAATGTAAATGTAAGCAAAATGGCGGATGGTGTTGTACCACAGATGCTGCAGTTGCTGTCTAGTTTGATTGCCTTTAAAAGATTAATGTTGGTTTTGACATGCTTCAGATTGCGTTTCTTCAAAGGAGAAGGATTATTTACATAGGTGTTGTTTGGCATCAGAAGAACATGAGGGCACTTTTTTGTTCATGCACAGTACTGGGAATTTGCAGACATGCAAGCTTTTGGAAAATGCTCAAATACTATAGTGTGCTTGGATTTGTGTAAGTAGTACTGTTTGTTTTGTATGACTACTGAGATTCTATTGAGATGTTTGAGTACTTTTTGTTTTAGTGTTTGTTTTGTTTATGATTAGAGATGCTCCGATCAGCATTTTTGGGGCTGATTACCGATCGCAAAAATCATGACCTGCCGATTGCCGATCATGGCTGATCACATAATGGCAGGGGATTGGGAATCTTGTATCTTTAATCTAGCAGAGTTTGCACCATTTGTAAAAATGAAACAAACTCTAACAATATTGAAAAAAAATAAATAAATAAATTGTAGAAAGGCTACAGCCAAGATCTTGTCAAGATCTTGTCCACCAAGTGTTTATTTTAGAAAATGAGAACTTAAGACTACTGTCGGCCATCTTTCCCAAATAAGGCAGAGTATAACCTAAAATTATTCCAAACAAAGAGGGGTCAGGCAGACCAACACAGATCAGATCAGCTTAATTCAATGTAGCCTCTTAATACACTGATTACATTTTGTAATTGGCAGCAAAATGTAAAACTATACCAAAACTGGCTACTGCCCAAAAGGAAAAAACTATGGCAAATGTTTTTTTTCTGTAATTATTATGAACCAGGAACCAACTACATCAGATCCTAAAAAATAATGTAGTAAGCTACTGTAAGCCAATGCCTTCCTTTCTAAATAACAAAGAGGAACAACCAGATAAACTAGTATCTAATAAAGGAGTACTAATACCTATTAAATAGATACTAGTATCTTATTATTTACTAATGATTAACTAGCAGTACATAAAAATATGTACCAGTCCCAGCTGGAGTACATACTAGTCAAAACTGAATTTGATATCTCAAAGACAAATCCCATGGAAATCAAGACAAATTTTACATCTATTACAAAACAGAATAGTTACTACAAGTCACATTTAAAATAAGTACTAGTGTCTAATAAATAAAAACTAGTATCTTAATAAGTACTAGTATCTAATGAATACATACTAGTATCTAATTAATAAGTACTATCTAATGAATAAGTACTAGTATCTATTTAATAGGTACTAGTATCTAATGAATAAAGACTGGTCTCTAATAAAAGGAACTAGTGTCTAATGAGTAAGCACTAGTATATTTTTTTTAAAAAGCACTAGTATCTAAAAAATAAGCAAGTATCTAATGAATAAGTACTAGTACTTAATGGAAAAGATACTAGTATCTAACAATAAGCACATGTAACATGAAAATAGATAGTATTAGGTTTATAGATTAAATGTCAAAACGGCTTGCCATACATGCACAGCAAGTGTGTGCCACACACACACACAGACGGTAGGCCAGGGAAAATTTGCGTCTCTCATTGTTTTCTGCATGTTTTTGGCGTTGTCTGTTAAAACCGCAAAAGTTTTTTTCTCTATGGATCCCCCATGACTGAAACATGCCGCTAAATGCGTTCACTAAACCCTCCGCAGAATGTGTAAAAATGCCGTTGCTTGCTTCCACCCCAAGGGACTTTATCACAACATACATTGCAAACTTCTAACTTTACATCTTTATTGGACACTTTGAAATAGACGGGGGAACTCTTGTTGCCACTTGTAAGCTCTGCTCTCTGCTCTGCTGTTGTTTACCTGTGCGCCGTGCATGCACGTGTGAAAAAGTCAAGCGAGTAATTTACGTCAAGTGATCGGCTTTTTTGATTGGTGCTTGTGGGGTTAGCCGATCAAGCTATTTTTAGCCAATATCGGCCGATTGTGATCGTTGGCCGATCAATCGGAGCATCACTATTTATGATACTTCGTTCCATTTGCTTGTTTGACTTGTTGCCTGCTGACATTGATTTTTGGATTGTCCTTTAAATATAGTTGCCTGTTTTGTAAATAGTTTGTAAATAGTGTATATTGGAATAGTAAGGAGTTTGACGCAATTTTATTTGTAAAACTTTTTGACCCCTGTTTTGTGGTAGGTAGTTAGGGTAGTGAATTGTACTTGCTTTTATTTTTGATCAGGTAAGTTAGAGAATTTTTGTTTGTTATTTTGGCCTTGTCAGCTCCCGAATTCAAACCCCAATAAATCTTTGACTTCATTTTTGTTGTCTTGTCTTTCATGTTGTGCACCATCCAATAGTATCTGGATGCAGCCTTTATGATGCAAGCTGAGACTGCATCACTCAGCGATGCAATGTCAGACACAATGCACTCAAATGGAGCTAGTGATGTCACTGTGACGGGTAGGGTTAGGTGAGCCTATTAAAAAGCATTGGATGCAGCCCGCTGCACTGCACCAGGTCTGCAGCCAGACCCCTCTCGCATTATCCCTAGACGGTGCATAACAAGATTTAGTCTTACAAAATTATTGCTATATTAACCTCAACAGTAAACTGAAACCCATTGTATTTCCAATTTTCACTGAGAGACTGAGCTACTTCAGACAGAAATGAGAGATGGATTTGGGATTATTATTTTAATTTTATTTTTTTTATGTCCAGTGTAGATACTTCTGTCTGCTGTGACAAGTGACATGGTTTAGGTTTGGTGTAGTCACAGGCTATGTACGAATTTGCCTACTACACAAGTAGGTACTACATTTGATATTACTCACATTCATACTAAATTCATTAGTATGAATTTGAATAGTATGAATGGAGCTTGGACATACTACATCTGCCATTTATAATGTGAGCTACCCGCATCAGTTACATTGCATAGCATCTATTGGATGTATACTTCAGAATCTTGCCAGAAGTATTTGGTCATCCTGGTATCTCTCTCTGTTTTTATTGTACTATATAGTATGGAGGTATACATTTTCAGATGCAGCCACTGTGTTAGATCAAAGGTAATGAATGTTGGCCTGCTGCTGGTAAATGCCAGATAAGCACATCCGCTATTGAGAAAAACCTTTTAAAAAATCTGGTCGACTTTTGTATGTCAATTGGCTTGGTGATGATGATGTTGATGGGTCAGAGCCTGCTTTAGTCCCTTTTCTAAAAACAATATGAGCACACATCAAAGAAAACCAAACAGCAATTTAATGAAAATCGATTCTCAGTGTCTAAATCCCAAATTTTATGTTTATCTTATGTTGACCACGCAGTTAAGAACTCTCTGTGCTTCCATGGAGATCCAGCAGCAGATTTTACTGTGACTTGCAAAGATGTTAACAGACCCGCCGGCTGAGCGATGGTGTAATTGGGCTCATTTCAACCCCTCTCAGCTGCGCTCCCTAGACACTGTCAGGTGCTACATGCTAATTAGCTAGCTGCTACAAAGATGAAGGGAGGCTTTGTGCGCATGGTGAGAGACTGTACTCTTTAGATGCCGTCACGGGCCGAATTCAGTGCTCAGCTCGCACCTGCTGATCCATATCCAAAATAAACACTTATCAGCACTGCCGCCTGCTGGTTACTGCGATCTCTGCTAAATTTTGTTGGTGAATCTATCTGTTTAAAACCTCGAGTAAATAATATGGTGTATAAAGTGCAGTAACAAAACATTTGAATCATGTGATTAAGTGAATTGCATAGTTCTGCCTTTGTGTTTGCAGAGAGCTGAAGCTGCGGAATTACACTCCGGAGGACGAGGAGCTGAAGGAGAGACAGGTGCCCAAAGCAAAGCCTGCATCAGGTGAGAGGACGCCTGCTTTAGCCGCAATAGAAATATTACTGGCTGCACTTCTTCAAATGTTTGTGCCGGCTAATTATGCTGACCTCAGTTCTGGGTGATTAAGTTACAGTGGGTGAGCTGGTGTTGAGTTACAGGTTGTCTGACTGGTCTTGTTTGATGTTTGTTTAGTTGATGACAAGGTCAAAGATCAGCTGGAAGCTGCGAACCCTGAACCTGTGATTGAGGAAGTGGTGAGTGAGGTTTTCTTCAATCCAAATTCTCAATTCAATCAAAAATAGGGATATTTGATAATGATAATTGTAAACAAAAAACATAATTTAAACTTGTTTGAGCATGATACTAATCATAAATACTAGTGAAGTTATTGTTTTAAAGAATTCATTGAAAGAACCAGCTCAAAATTGTAGTTTGCACATGAGTTGGAAATTAAATATATAATTATAGAACTATATCTTGTATCCATCTTCCCTGTGATTGTGTAGCCTACAGAACTAGAGTGAGAGACAATTTAAAGACCTGTTTTGAGTTAATTAGCTGATTAGAGCATGGCACCAGGTATCCTCAATACTGAACCTTTTTACTATATTCTCATTTTCTGAGATACTGAATTTGGGGGTTTCATTAGTTGTCATCAAAATTAAAAGACATAACCACTTGAAATATATCAGTCTGTGTGGAATGAATGTATGCATTACACAAGTTCCACTTCTTGAATAAAACTAACCTTTTCTTTATTAATCTTGTGTTTTAGGATCTGGCCAATCTTGCTCCTAGAAAACCAGACTGGTACAAACCCAAACTTTTTACCTATACAACATCTTTGCATCATATTTATTGTTAATAAATGCATTTTATAAAAAATGTTTGTATTAATTTCATGTTTTTTATGTTTTGTGATTTAGGGATTTAAAGAGAGACGTGGCAAAGAAGCTTGAGAAACTAGAGAGGAGAACACAGAAAGCCATTGCTGAACTTATACGTGAGTATAGTGCGACACGCCGGCTGTGATTCAATTTCTTTTAGGGGAATTACCAACCTATGTCACACATGACATCACACATGTCATGTTGTGCGGTAGGATGCCAAATTCGTCCTTAGTCCAAAAATAGAAAACTGAGATTTTACTGTACATCACATTGCTTTTAATGGCAACCGTAGACGTCTTTGGCTAACAGCTATCATAAGAGCTGAATGGAGTGAGGACCTAATTAAAATTGCTCGACTGTGCATTTCTTATTTTATATTAGGTAAGTTCACACTATGCTGAATCATACACATTACTCGTTTTTGATAGCAGCAATGATTTCAGCAAAAACTGTTAAATATGGTTAATTAAACTGCGGACACTGAATGCCTAGAATGAAATGTAAAAATCTAAGTTTGCATACCCTGCCGTACAGGTGCAGTTTGCTGTTTGAATGCAGTTGTTTTGCTTGTTAATGATTATCCAGGCCTTGTACAGTTCTGTTGTCTTTCCTTTTCTTTGGCTAGGCACTACTAAGGTAATACTAGGTAATACTAAGTTTTGAATCTGGTAATCATGGACATTATTTCTTGCTCATGAAAACACAGAACAATATTGTAGGCATCCAAAAACTTGTAGGCCTTTAAGTTCTCTCTTGTAAAATCACTTTGAGTTTCAATGCGATAGTTGTATAGTTTAGGCAGGATGCTTGGCCATTTTGTCTAATCCAATTTCCATTTGGAAGGTGCTATCACAAATGGACCTGTCAGATGAACACTGCTTACTTTAATGTTAATTTTGCTGAATAACTGTCCTTATCACTGAGTGAAAAGCTGTTGTAATACGCTGAAAGCATTATGTTTATATATATATATATATATATATATATATATATATATATGTAATCAATATAACTAATCTCTAATACAACAACAAACTCTGTACCGCATCTGATGTCATTCCCTCACTGTAAATGCTAGCGCTCCTGTTTTTTTTCTGCAGTCTTGCTGTGTGCGCATCCTGAATCTTTACAAACCGATAATTCCTCTATAGATTTAGTTCAACCAAAAATGCAAAAAACAAACAAAAAAAGAAGTCATCATTAATAGCCAACCTTTTGTTCTAAAATCTTATTTTTGTGTTGAGCACAAAGAAGAAATTTTCAAGAATGTTAAAAGAAACTTTTAAAGGTTTGTAGCCACTTGCATGTAAACAGTGAATAAAATGGTATTTTTGTGTGAACCATTATTTTGAGGTTCTTTTGCACCAAGGACAATCACTACTAACTATTCATTTGAATAACCATTCTAACTCTACAAAATCAGAGCATAGGTATCTGCTTATGTTGTGATGTAATTCATTTTTTGATCCTCTGTTTTTATATGAATAACAGCTGTAAAACTGCATTCGATAATCATTTATGAACAATAAATATTCTTAACATTTATTAAAGCTAATCTTTTAAGATCTTCTTTGATACAGTCTCAGTACTTATAGAGTTCTGTGATTTATGAACAGTGACTTCCTGTTGACTGTCTTGGATTTCCCTACAAAGATGTATTAAATATTAAAGCATGCCAAGACTGTATACTATTTATTACCACTAGTTTTTTTTTGTGTTCTCATCTGATTTAGACCCATAAAGGTGACATTAACATGTGGGACTGATATATTTGGAATCAATTTCAGAAGGATTTTGAGCTGATGAACAATAAATAACAATAACAATAATAAACTGCAGATGTCAGAGATGACAGGTTTTCAAACAGCAAAATCAAAACAATCCAAGCTGCTTTAAGGGGTTTCACAGCATGTAATATAAATATTCTCTGTTAATTCAGGGTTTAATATTTAATTTAATATAAATCATCCATTCAAATAATGTAAATTGATAGCAATGAATTTTGACTCGAATGCTTTTAGTTTAAAACGTTTTCATTTGTAGCAAAAAACAATGCACTGTGAGTGGCTTTGTTGCATCACATGAATGTCACTTCTCACAATTTGGCTTTGTGACCTCTAGCCCAGAATAAAACATGCTCTGGAGCAGGTAAGCCATGTGACACAGGTTACCACGGTGACGAAACCTGATCAAGTTCAAACTAAAAGCGAAGACCCAAAGCAGCTTTGTCCAACAGGCCTCTGAACTGCAACATGCTTGAAGTAATCGAATGTTATTTTTATTTAGTTGTGGATGCTAATAGTTATCATCAATGTAGCACTGAAGCACTAATCCACCACTACATCATTTCTCTTATCAGTAATACATTCAAAATGTAGTCATGGAGCCTTTTTATAATGAGCTCCGCCAGGGCTTCATGTAAGGCCAATTGCTTTGAGGATTAAAAATCCCCAGAGGTCTCATAAAGTCTCATAATGACATCATGTATGGATTTCCAGTCTCTCTCTGCTCGTCTGGCATAGACTAGATCTCCCTTGACTTTAAATTAGTACTATACTGTAGTTTTACCTGCTAAACCTGCAATTAAAATGAAAAGTCTGTAATTATGTGATGTATTATGTGGATAACAACAAAAAGTTTTTATATTTTGTAAAGAGTGTGTTAGTTTTATACACCTATGCGGGTCCAAAATGTGCGTACTCATTGCTTAATACACACCTGTGTACAGCAGTAAGCAAATATATTTAAATTGTAAAAATTAAAGGATTAAAATGTAAAAAAAAAAATAAAAAATAGAGAGACAATAAGCTCAACCCATTTCAGACCATTCACTGGGTGCAGCGACCATTTTTCCTTTTTAAAACAGCAGAAATGGATTTGGACACACCATTTGTAAAACTACGCCATGCTTTTAAGACCATGCGATTGGGTCATTAAAATAGAAACCGTAGTCTTTTCAGCCAGCCTGCTCCAGAGGCTAACAACCAGACTAAGATTAATCTTGTTTTGCTACTAGAAATTATTTTACAGTCACTAAATGTTCTTTGGCCTTTCATGTATATTTTTCGGTAATTAAAATTTTAAGTTTTTTTGCTCAGTTTTTTTAGCATTATTTTTATTTATGAAGAGTTCAGTTGCAAAACCGCTAAGTGCCACTTCCGCAAAAATGGGGTAATGACATTGAGTGAATGCTTTAGGCACGTAGTACACCATCAACAAATAGATTTGCTTCTTACCATCCAAATTCCAGCATCAGTGCATTCAGAAATAACAAAGCAAACAACAAAGGTTGAAAAAGGCTCTATCCTGAAAACCAACCAGAAGGTGCGAATCAAATAATTTGTTTTCAACAAATGCGCTGATTTGCCGGCTTTTATGAAGAGTTTTATTCTGCTTCTGATTAAGATTTTAAAAGACGAAGACTGATGAACTGGATGAGCCTGTCAGACTGTCAGGGATTGGCAAAAGAAAACGGCCCTTACCTTAAACTGTGCATTATAAAAAAAAAGAAAACACAATGTACAGTCGGAAGTGTAGTGCCTACCTTGTGTTTTATTAGCTAATTTAAGCTATTTTTTTAAAAGATAAATATAATGTATAAAACTATACATTATTTATATTAATTTATAATACCTATACATCTGATAAGCTTTTTATATTAATAGACAATGCACATATTGGTGTTTCACAATGTTTTACACTACATTATATGAATCTACCAAGCTTAGCTTACAATGTTTGCAATGTTTGCATTGTTCTACTTACATTAAATCTAAATCCCAAATATTAGAATCTTTTAAGATTTAATTAAGATTGTTATCAGATTGTTAAGATTTAATTAAAGGGCACCTATGGTAAAAAATCTACTTTTCAAGCTGTTTGGACAGATGTGTGTTGGTATAGTGTATTGACCGTCATACTGGGGTGATATGAACACACCCAATACTTTTTTTTCAATTTAACTACAAAAAAAAGGGTCGGCCAATTGGAGCTGTTTTCAAATCGATCACACCATTACGTAGGTGTGCGATTCCCCCCGCCCACCGAATTGATTGACAGCTGCGCGCATTAACATGTTCCGGTAGTCGCGTGTATATGTCAACAAGACCAGACAGACATATGCAAAGCAACCGGGAATAAAAGGTCTATTCTGTTCGCTAGGATCAGCAATCATCATCAAATGTGATTAAGAGTAAGTTTCACATGTTTAAAGCGTTTTAAAACAGAGTATGTGTGTAATTAATTACAGTGTTTTACTTCAGCTTTACTTCATCAGCACAGCCGTGTGTCAGAACAATTATAAAAGAAGACGCTTCAATCCCGGTTTGTGGAAGTTAAATTATTTTGTACATTAGCATAACAGATATCCACACAGTACTTCAGGTTAGCCTTAACTAAGCTAAGCGCGCTCTGTCTGCCTGCCTGTGTGTGTGTGTGTGTGTGTGTGTGTGTGCGTGCGTGCGTGCGTGCGTGCGCGTGCGTTAACTTTGTAACGATGTTGTGTGTGACTCATCAATGCAACTTCACAATACTGATTAGTAAAGGTTAGTTCTTACTGTAGTATCTCACAAACGCTACGTGAGACCTTCTACCTTTCAGTCTGTCTGTTGTCTGACGCAGCTGAGGGAGGAGGCATGTAGTGGGCGAGAAAGTGGGCGGGAAAGAATCGTCTTAAAGGCGCAGTATGACAAAACCACCCCCTGCTGGAAATCAGTATAAAACAGCATCTTGTAAAAGGTATAATGAAAAATCTGATGGGTATTTTGATCTGAAACTTTATATACACATTCTAGAGACGCAAAAGACTTGTATTAAATCTGAAAAAAGGGGTAACCTAGGTGCCCTTTAATGTCAGTTTTAATGTTATTGATTTCTTACTTGACAGAGTTATGTATTTTTAATATTAGGTGGTCTGTGTAATGTGTTTTATGTTTGGTAAAATAATTTCTAATTGCATCTTTAATTATTTTCAACCAATTACACTGTTTCATCCCAGCAGAAGCAGAAGTGGATTATGTTAGCTGACCAATCAGAGCCTCTTGAGGGTGGGCCTTTCTGAGGAACTAGGAAATATGACAGTCGTTTTTCCTGTTAGCTGAGTAGCTGTATATAATCAAAGTAGATAAATGAAAAAAATAAAATGATTTTCTACAAGTGAAGCATGAGCACACATTGCTTTGCATCTTATAAACACAACCAAGCCATAAAAGTACACTCTGAACCACCCCTTTAAGACAAAGTGAAAAAGCTTTTATATGTTTGTTCTTGTGTTTCTCTCTCTCTGCGTGAAAGTAATGGGAGTTCCGAGATCAGTGGGTGTTACCACATCTTTCTAGTTACCTGAATGACTTGCATTGGGTTTTATCCATGTTCACATCATTGAATCTGTGATCGATCCCATGGTCTATTTAGGAATGTAGTGATTTTGCACTTATCCCTGCTGGATCAGAAAACGTGAAACGGATTTGTGATGTGCTGATTAAACTAGGTCAACTTATGCTTTTTCTGTTTCCCTGACTTTATTTGCAATAGCCCTCAGATCAGGTTAGCGGTGTAGCATAGGTTACCATGGTGATGAAACCCAATCAAAACTAACCCACCTTATTGAGCCCAAAAAACTCAAGAGTTAATATTGCTCAAACTTAACAAGAATTACCTGCATTGAAAACCAAAACTAGTTTCGTGCAACAGGCCTCAGGACTATAGCATGCGCAAGTTTTTGATGAAGCTCATTCCTTGTGTTCATATGATGTTTATGTCTGGACGTTTGTGATTCTGCAGGTGAACGGCTCAAGGGCAGCGAGGAAGAGCTGGCAGGAGCGGTTGGAGCTGTTGGCGTGGAGGAGGGAGACTCGGATTGAATCTGCTTTAAGAATGGCAGTTTCAGCAGCGTGTGTTTGAAACAGACTCCAGTTTATGTCCAGATCAGGTGATTTAGAAGTGTGAGTGTATTAGAGAGAATGAGAGAGGGAAAGAACGACGAGAGATGGAGTTTTTGTTTTTCACATTTTATTATTTTGTGGTTTATAAGTAAACAATCCTTCTTTTCTAAATTGACTCTTGTCTGTTTCCTCTCTGAGTCGTATGATAAAAATGCTGTCCGATGTCGGTAAGCTTACTTCTTTCAAATCAGAACTGGAATGAAGGGATAGATTCATGTTTTCATTCATGTTGTATTTTCCTTTTCTCATTAATGTGCATTCAATTTAAGATTTAAGAAGAGTGCAACATCATAATCCAAGAGAAGAGTACAGCTAAAACTTGCTTGACCCCAAATAATCAACACAATCAAACACGTTTTTGATTAAAGGAAAGTTTAGAGGAAAATTGAATTTAATTCAGTATTAACCTTTTTTTTATAATGTACACCACCCATGATACGTGTGGAATGAGTAAGATTTTCAAGAATAAGCTTATTTTGCTCACAAAGGCTGCATTAATAAATTCAAAAATACAGTAAAAGGTGAAATGTTATTGCAGTATGATAAATAACTTGTTTTATTGAATGGAGTTAACATGTAATTAATTTTTGTGGTTCAAATCTGAATTTTAAGCATGGTTAAACTTCAGTCACATAGTTTTTTATATTATTATGATCTGTTCAAGAAGACGCCACTCTTATTATAATTATTGTAGTTGTTGACGATACAATAACTGTTTATACAATAACATTCAAATGTAACATGAGGAAAGTATTAATTATTATTACAAAAAAAATTGCTTAAGAGTGAAAGTAACTTTTGATTTGCTACTTTCTGTCACCTAATCATAAAAGTAAAATGTATTACAGTTTCCAAGATACTAAGAAGCAAGATAAAACTTTTTCTGCATTGAAAAATTTCTGAAAAGTTTCAGTTTCAGAAATAACTAATCAGAATAGAACAATCATCATAGCGAAAATATCTGCAGAAAATCAGCATATTTTAATAATTTCTGAAGGATCATGTGACACAGAGGACTGGAGCATTGATGATGAAATTCAGCTTAAAATCACACGAATAAATTAAATTTGAAATTACATTCAATATAAAAAAACAGTTTTTCAAAATCGTAATCCTATTTCAAAATTGAACAGTTTTACTGTATTGTTTGATTGTATAAATGCAGCATTGGTTAGTAGAATTGCCTTTAAAAAAAATCAAACATTATCTTACTGATTCTCAACTTCTGACTGGTAGTGTTTATTCCAAACCTTTTCAAGTTTCTTTCCTCTGCTGAACACAAAAGCTATTTAGAAGAAAGCTGACAACCTGTAATTATTGACTTCTATACTATTTGTCTTCCTACTATGGAAGCCAATGGTCACAGGTTTTCAGCTTTTTCATAAGAGAATAAATGGTTGCAGAATTTTCAGTTTTGGGTGAACTATCCCTTTAAATATTTTCTAACTTTCAGAAACAAATTAATAGACCTCCTCTGGTTTTGGTTAAAAGACAAGTTGTATGGGCAGCACAAGTCTTCAGCGATAAAGTGCATTCCTCATCCTCCCACTGTAACATGGCTATAACTAACATGACTAAACAACAATGACAATTTACAGTAAACTTATATTTATCCTAAACATCTCTTACTTGCACATGTGTGTATATATATATAGAGAGAGAAGTAATTTTAAATATCTTGATGGTTGTTAATTTAGAATTAATAATGAATGTATATTAATGTTAAGACTAGTAACATTTTCTCCAATGTGGTTTCTTCCAAAACCAAAACATGAGATGTCCACCACTAAGAGGTGCTATTGCACATAGTATCATGAGCTGTAGTTACATACATTCTCATCTTTAGCAGATGCTTGCTTTTCCAAATCCTGACTTCCTTTACCTTTCAGCGACAGAGCAGGGCTCATAAATCAAGAACCATTAGTGAATCATCATTAAACTGACCTTCTGGTTATTAGCCTGTATTTCAAATACCACCACTTTGTGCGGTGAACAAAGACATATTGGCTGCTTCTACACGTAATACAACATGATTATGGAAGTCCACACCCGTCATACACAGTAACACTTGACCATTACTTCCTAGGCTATATATTATACCAAATAGCTTTTCTTTGAGTGATTATCATTAGAAATTTCAAGCGTTTACACAATTTAGATATTGTGGTCTCTTGTGTTGCGACTCCAAAACATTGTTTTATGCAAGATTATCTGAAATATCCGCACCACTGCTTCCTTGTGAAGAATTTTCAGTCAGTCATATTTTTAACTGAAGGACAGCTTGTCTTGATATTGATGTTGGTGAGACTTTGACATGCACTTCTGCTGGCGGAGAAATGCCATTGCTAGGTAGCAGGAAGAAACTGGAACTCTTCATGTGGAGTCATAGACGTTTCTAGAAATGTAGCCCTTGAGTTGGATTGGAAGCTTTGACCACAGGTTGAAAAGTGCAAGGCTCGTCCATTGACTGGGCCTGTGGATCCGTGTGAGGGTTGATGGTTTGCTTTAACTTTTGCTTTCATTATGACCTCCTGTCTCGATTTTCCGTGCGGCAGGACCGAGCTCCACCTTGCATACTCGCTGGGCAAATTTGAGCGAGCACAGGGTCTCTCCAACATTGCTTTCAAGAGACGAAACCTAAAGAAGATAAACTACATGAGCTTCGTTTTTTCATTAGCTTTATAGAAAGATTAACATTTATATGGTGGTTTGGAGGTCTTGGTTCACTTGAAAAAAATGTTCTAAACAGATATTTTACATAACGAGAAACAATCTGGCTAAAATGGCTGGCTCCACCAAACTCAAGATCACATTTGTTTTGTTAGTACACAGAGAAACAAAGCTTTGGTTATTACAGGATTGCACAATCCTCTTCCTAAATAATAAAAAAAAAGTTCTGATCAAATACTAGCTTCCAAAGATGCAAATTACACTTAAGCACAAAATTGGCATTTTACGTGAAACATCTCTAAATAAGCACTGTTACCATCCAATGAGTTAAAGAGAACAGAATTATTACCTCCTAATATGCAGAGCCAAATATCATAATGGAAACTAGGATTTGCTGCAGTAAGAGAAGTCCCTGTGGGTCTTTTTTCTTATATAATTAGTTCATGAAATGCAACGAGTGCACAACTGCTCAAGACAGTTCTGGGAGGTAATAACAAACTATGTTGTTATACTTTGTTGTTTGTCATCAATTTAGATGCTGTTGTATGTGGTGGGGCTGCTGGTTTGTTCATTAATGGCACCTCATTGCACCTGTTTTTGTTATTACATATAAAATATCTAATCTCATATGCACATTCTGGAATGTGTTTCCATCATAGTTTATGCACATTTTTGATTACTGGAAAAAAAGTCTTTCCTACTTATGGGAATTTTCTAAATTTATACACTTCTTGGTGTTTCCATTAAGCATTTTTTAAAGCGATATTCCAAAATATATAATACAATAATACATAAATAATTAGGTCATTGGAGCAGCTATTGTCTGCAAAGAAAGAAATCACCATCTTTGATGATGAGGAAATTTTCATTTTGAAAATGGAGCAATCCTTCATTAAGCATTTTATGGACTGACACTAACCTCCTTTTTTGTCAAACTACATTACTTTAGCAGAGGGTTGAAGGGGTGCTAACTTCCTGAAATTAGTTATTACACGGTGTGGGATATCTGCACTTTGTAGGCATCATGTCAAAATAAATGGAGGTGAAGTATTAAGGTCTTTCCACATCAAACTCCAAAATTTTCATTTACTTATTTTTGTATTCATACTTGAAAAATCTGTCATGCAGAAACATTGCACACTAGATTAATTAATCTTTAGAAAAATAAATAAAATCACAACGTTCAAAATCGATTAAAAATGTGATATTGTTTTCCTTTCTTCAAAAAAGAAAAAGGAAATGTGTTTATCCAAGACCTTATCAACGAGCTGTGCGGGATTATCATTCGGCTTAGTCCCTTATTTATCAATTATTAACTGCCAAATATTCCGCCATATGTTTACACAGCGGATGCCATTTAAGCCGCAACACAATGGGAAAACCCATAAACTCTCACACTCATACACTATGGCCAATTTATTTTATTCAAATCTTTGGATTGGGGGGAAACCGGAGCACGCGAACACTTGGTGAACATGCAAACTCTACACAGAAATGCCAACTGGCCCAGCTGGGACGACAGTGTTTACCACTGAGCCACCGTGACGCCAAATTAATTTCAGGAATTGTTTATTTGAAAAAAATCTGTGGCAGTTTAATTCTTTGCTTGGCATACTGCAGTCACATGACACAATTTCTATGAACAAATTCATCCAGCACAGAGACTGGCAGTTAATGGTATGCACAAACACACACAAAATGGCCAAACTGCCGCATGGGAAAGGTGCGTTGCTTGCACTAGCTATGTTTCCATCTACCTATTTTTATGCGCATTTTGCATATGCGCATAAAAAATGGTTCATGAAAACGCCATGATGCGCATACATTTTGAAAATGCGCATAAAAAAACACATGAGTGGGACAAACTTTTTATTCGATAAGAAAAGATGTGCATGAACTGCGATGGAAACACTTTTATCGCACCAACTCCAGCATGCACATAAAAAAGGTCATTAGGTTTTGGTCATTATAAAACGCCTTACTGTTTAAGTATTAGTGTTATTATTTTATTATTGACCTCCAGAACAAAAGCATCTGTGCTCCGCGTCTGACCTCTTCAAACGCCACCATGCGTTCACTGCATGTCAGGATTGCTCTCTGAGGTGCAAGTGATTTGTTAGATGAAGAAAATATTGATGCAGCTTCTTCTACCACAGCTAATTCAGTTTTTACTGTTGGTATTTGGCGCCAGTTAATCAGGAAGTGACGATTTTGTTTGCTTTGATTCGGATAGAAATGCTGCTTTATTTGCACGTCTTTTATGCGATAATCCAGTTTTGCGCATGAAGTTCATTCGCATTTTTGGATGGAAACATAGCTACTGAAATCAACATACAATAGGCTACAGCAGAAATTCTCAAATATCGGCCACATTCTGTCTTTATATTACACACATTGTTTGTCATAAGGTGCTCTGTGCTCCAGGTGACAGAATTAGATTTTTTGGGATTTGGTTGTATGGTGGCTGTAAACTGTCAAAACACCCCTCAAAATGCATTTTTTTGCACGTGAAAATTTTAACAAAACAAAGAAATCTAACTCAATCAGATTTTGAAAGCAGTGTGTAAATGTGATCAAGGTTGACATTATTTTTTAACATGCAAAGATTTTGGATTCAGTGTGCAATGGGCTTTACTGTGAGTATATTCTGATCAAATGTACCTTGGCTCAAACCATGGGCAGCATTTCACATGTGTCATTATGAAATGGGGTTAGCACAACAGTGTTAGCTAAGTCTTGGTAAATCTTTGTTACCTGAACAACCATGGCAGTTTTGTTGCCTTTTCCCAGCGAGTCCTGTAGCAGGTAGGTGAGTCGTGAGTTCCTGAATGGTATGTGAGTCTGGTGGGCCTTCAGGGCCTGGATCACATCACCTAGAGCCAGCAGTGAGCGATTAATATTCTGGGCTTCCTTCAGTCTCTCCCCCTCTGCTCCAGACTTCCACACCCTCTCAGAACCAGCCAGGTCTACCAGATTCAGCTTGCCTGCAGAGAAGAAGTCAAGAATTGTCATTAAGTTTTTTATTCGTTTTTTATTTAGTCATTAAGTCTTGAATTTGCCCAGCAGACACTGCGATTTTAGGCAAGATTTGGTCATCTAACACAAATTCCTCACTCTCATTCCTTTGACCTAGTCCCTAATCTATTAAGGCTCGCCACAGGGGAATCAACCACCAACTATTTGGCATATGTTCCACACAATAAACACCCTTCCAGCCGCAACCCAGCACTGAGAGTATCTTAACTTGTGAACTTCAGTGCTGGGAATTACCCACACACTCTCAATCACACACTTATACAATAGGGTCAATTTAGTTTATCCAGTTCACCCATACTGCATGTCTTTGGGCTTTGAGGGAAACTAGAGCACCCGAAAGAAACCTACGCAAACATGAGAACAGTAATGACACTTGGCCCAGTTGGAGATTTGAATCAGTGACCTTGTTGCTGTGAGGTGACACCGGAGACAAATTCCTAAAAATCTTAAACGATTCCTCTAATCCTTGGCTAAAATCTGTACTCTTTGGTTTACTTCATTGGTTTGACATATTCATCAACACTGTTCACATGTCATGGATGGATGATGTCAAACTCCAGATGAGTTTTCTTTCATGTCTGTGTTGTCTATGCATTAATTATTGTTCAGTAGGACATTACAGTCTGACACGAGAATCATGTTTGTACAGCCTGACAAGCTACAATCATATAGGATTATTTCAAATCGCTTTATTTCAGCTGGGCTTTATGCATCCTAAATATCAAGAATCATTGGGACTGACCGGTGGTTTTTGCACCACTGGCGAGGTCTGTACCCAGCACAGTCACCGTGAGCAAGGCATGTGATCGAGAGCTGTGCTGGTTCATTTGTGTTCCAAATGTAATCCTGTTCTTTCGAGCTATGGCCAAAATCTGAAAGAAAGAACAAACATGATTGGAGAGAATGGATTTTATTCAGTCAGCTGTTTCTGGAACGATGTCACCTTGGGACTCACTTTTTTGATATGCTGGAAGTTTTTGACCTCTAAGACCCTGAGTCCTGGAACATGGAGCTGACCCGTCCCATCAGGGTTGATCTTGATGTCAAGCTTCTCCCCATCCTTACTAAGTAGATCTCTGATGCAAGCAACCACAAGTATATAACTCATATAACAATAGATGTGAGACAACAATGTACTCAAAAATGAAAACAATCAGTATTGTTCACTCTCTCTCATGTTGTTTCAAGACTTTCATGAGACGTTCATTCATCTTTTAAAGCAAGGGTGTCATCAATAACACCTGAACCAGCTAATTGTGATCTTTTTGCTCACTAGAAAATTACAAGCAGTTAGAATATAAGAGCTGGTTGTATCTTAACTCTGCTTTATGTTGGCCCTCCTGCAGGAGGATTAATGCTGCATTCCAGACAACACAGAATTGGAGGTGTTTCTGCTTTTCTTTTTGGAAATTATGTCTAGAACACCTTTAAAAGTTGGACATCCGACCTGTTAACTCAGAGTAGATTTCTTGACAAATAGCGACTAGTTCTGCAAAAGTGAGATTAGTGTGAAGCTACCTTTTGTGAAACATAAATGAAGTATGTTTACAGCAGAAAATGAGTGGGAACCCTACAAAAAGGCAATTTCTGAAATGGCTTTATAATTCATTCATTAATTTTCATCTGCTTTTATGGGTCCGGGTTGCAGGGACAGCAGGAGAGAACCCCAGACTACCCTCTTCCTAGACACTTCCTTCTGCTTCTCCGGGTGGATCCTGAGGCTTTCCCAGGCCAGCTGAGAGACATAATCTCTTCAGCATGTCCTGGATCTTCTCGCAGATCTCTTCCTGGTGGGACATGCCTGGAAAACCTCCCTAGGTTAGTGTCCAAGAGGCATTCGAAACAGATGCCTGAGCCACTTCAGCTGACTTCTCTTGATGTGGAGAAACAGCGGCTCTACTCCAAGCTCCTCTCGGAGGCTAGAGCTTCTTACCCTATCTTTAAGTGTGCGCCCTGCCACCCTGCGAAAGAAACTCATTTCGGCCGCTTGTATTCAAGATGTTGTCCTTTCGGTCATGACCTAAAGCTCATGACCACAGGTGAGAGTATGAATGTAGATTGACCGGCAAATCAAGAGCTTCTTTTGGCTCAGCTCCTTCTTTACCACAATGGACTGGTACATCGACCGCATTACTGCTTCCACTCAACCAATCCACCTGCCAATCTCATGTTCCATCCGTTCCTCACTCGTGAACTAAACCCCAAGATACTTGAACTCCCCCACCTGGGGTAAGAACTTTGCTCCAACCTGGAGATTGCAAAACATCTTTTTCCGGTGGAGTACCATGGCCTTGGAGTTTTATAGTGCAACATATAATGGTCTTCTTGTGTTTTGTTAGTTGTTGTCGAAAGACAGCTAGCATTTTAGTTTCTAGTTTTAGTCATAATTGGCACAATAACATGAAAGGCCCTATTTTGACGATCCATGCGCAAAGCGCAAACGCAATAAGGGCATGTCAGAATCCACTTTTGCTATGTTAAGGACAGAAAAATCCACTTTGCGCTGTGGCGGATGGTCTAACAGTGTTGTGCTTATTCTCTTAATGAGTTATAGGTGTGTTTTGAGAATAAACCAATCAGACAATCATCTCCCATTCCCTTTAGGAGTCAGTTGTGCCGCGCCATAGCGCATTTGCTATTTACACGGTGGACTTTGTAAGTGGAAAAACTGAACACTTGAGAGAAAACAGTTAAACAGAGCATCTACAGCGTGAGAATGAGAGCTGAGCCTTCTCATTGTTTACTTTTGCTTTCATTCTTATAAGTGTTGTACGCACAGATTTTCTTTATCCTATAAAAAAATAATTTTGTTTGTAAAGTACAAAAATTATTTCAAATTATTTCAAACTTCAGCAAACGAATTAATTAACAAAAAACACAGCTGAAACACACATGCTGTGCCCCATATGGTCTAAAACCTGACAGTTGGACAAATCTAAGCTTGTTTTTAATAAAACAAATGTAAATATGCATATAATAAATAATACTGCTAATAATAATAACATTATACAAAAGCAAATTGTCATGAATAAACTGGAAAAAGCCCCCTGAGATGAAGAAGGCATGAAAGTATGGTTTTTATATTTATGTAGGCTAGAAAATAATAATTTTTGTAATAATCCTTTAATTCTTTTTAATTTGTAAAGATATTTGCGTATTGCTGTACATCCTGTTTGTATTAAGCGATGTTTAAGCGAGGCGCACAACTAACGCGATCTGCGCTGGACTTTAGACCGGCTTTGTTCTGGGCTATTGAACCATCTATTTAAGTTCCTCAAAATAGCAACGTGCCAGCAATGCGCCTTAACACGCCTCCCTTTTTAGACCAATATGCCTATGGTCGCACATATGTGCGCAAATGCATTTGCTATGTAAACAGCGGTGTGCAAAACGTTAAAACGACTCTTGCACCGAGCTGAAATTAGCAAACAACAATTGCGTCGCGCATTGTGCCGGGTGTATGATATGGCCCGAAATGTTATGAAATATCCACATCTCACATGGTGAATATGTAACTGTAGCTACGTTTCCATCCACCTATTTTCATGTGCATTTTGGATATGCGCATAAAAACCGGTTGATGGAAACGCCAAGATGTGCATATGCACATAACTGAGTAGGATAAACTTTGTATTTAATAAAAGAAGATGGAAACACTACAATCGCACAAATTCCAGTTGCGCAATAAAAAAGGTCATGTAATTTTTTTATAAGAGATCATGTGATGATAAAAATGTGTGTGAATGGATAAACCAGCAGGCTGAACACACTGTAAAACATCTGAAATGTTTTTTTGTTCATTCTTAATCGCCTTAACCGTTTTTTTTATTAAACCGTATTTTATTAGTAATCAACTTCAGAATCAAGAGTGTCTGTGCTCTGCGCCTCACGCCTTCAAACGCCACTGCGCGTTCACTGCGTGTCAGGATTGCCTTCTGAGGCGTTTATTAAATGAAGAAAAGATTCAAGCAGTTTCCTCCAAATTCTGTTTTTACTGTTGATATTTTGTGCCAGTTAGTCAGGAAATTACTTTGACTCATTGGATAGAAACGCTGCTTTATTCGCACATCTCTTATGCAGTAGAGTTTTGTGCATAAAGTTAATTCACATTTTTGGATGGAAACATAGCTTGTGATGCAGGAGTGACTGAAATGCATTGAGGTCAGAAGTGGGACATTTCATTGGTGAAACTCCTACTTCTGATTGTGTCTGGAATGCAGCATAAACACCCGTTCCAAAAACAAATTGTGATGATTTTTTAAAACCTGAGTGCCACTAAAACAATGAAGCAAGAGATCTCTCATTTTTCACAACATGGTTTCAATATTTTGATGACATCACTCTGCACTTCAGCTTATCATTGTATTTTATGCTTAAACAAATGTTTTTTTTTTTATAATCAGATGCATCTCTCATCTTACACTACAAATAAGCATCAATACAGTTGCAGAAATCATCATTTGTTGAAACAATAGGTTGACATTTTCATGGGACACATCCTGGATAGGATTTCTATATTTGGCTTTGTTTTCCTGTTGTCATACCTGCTCTTTAAACAATAGTAATTTGCAATTTGGTGAATGGGACATTCAAAATTTGACAACTATTCAAAATTTGTGAATATGCTTTGCATTGTAGTAAATGAATGGTTTGGTTTGCATTAACATACATGTTTTTTACATTACACAAATGTTTGTATTTAAATTATTGTTTAGCTTTAGTAACAACTTGTATAGTCTTATAACATTTTTTAACTAAATTAGCAAAAATATATTTAAAAAGTGGAATACCTCAGGACCTCGTTGTAAATTTCCACTGAACTGACACTGACGGTGTATGTCCACATGTCCTTTCTTTCCTCAATCTCATTGAACAGGTGTTTAAGGGCCCGTTGGTTGATGCCGGGGTTTTCAACAGTACCCTGACAGGACACGGATGGTTAATGAGACCAGGCAGTTATATTGAATAATTGATGAAAACCAATCATTCGGTGTAAGACTATGAAGTTGTTATGTTGGGTATATAGTTGCAAATGCTTATATGTTACCTCCATAGTATATGTTTTGCCAGAGCCTGTCTGACCGTAAGCAAAGATGCAAACATGATATCCATCAATACAGGAAGTGATAAGTGGCTCAATTTCCTGGAACACCTGTAAAATTAATAGTACATTTATAGAAATTGATTTAAACATTAAAAGATGAAAGATATTTCATGAATTTTGTTCATTTAATTACACCCCAGCATGGTTTTAGAGACAAACGTTTCTATGTAAACAACAGAATTACAATAAGTATGCATATTGTATGTGTAAATTTGTTGTCGTTTTGTTGGGCAAAAAGCTTTCCTGATTAATCAGCAAGCAATACTACAGGATGTTAGTTAGTCTTTATTTATTTCATGAAGTCAATTTGGTTGCTGCAAACAAGAATATCACACACACAAAACACACTGTACAATACAAATCTACCCTTAATTTAAAAACCTGACAGCTGAGTAGATAAATAATAGTTTGAACAGATTTGTTTTACTATTTGGAGTTCTGCATTGAATATAGTGGGGAGAAGGTAAAACTGGTGGTGCATAGGATAAGAATCCTCTGACAAAACACTCTGAGCTTTACCTAAAACTTGCCTATCGTATTTTTGAGCCATGGTTACATTTTATCCCTGCTATTTTTTTCTAGGTTTACAATTCTCTCCAAACAACTCTTATATTTCACACTGGTGAAATGTATGAATGCATGATATATGGCATCATAACTGCCTCATGATAGAGGCATATCAAAATGCATCAGTACACTTTCTGGACTGGACATGCATTTCAATTTTTAGATTATTTTAACTGCCTTAATGCTGCACTTAATGTTTCTGAATCATTTAACAATCCATTTAGTGTATTCTTCAACAAAACTCTTAATTAATAAAGTAGTTATTTTGGTTGATATATTTTTATCTATTTTGTAGCAGATTTATTTAAGATTTTACATCTTTGATTTTATTACTTAAGCTATAGCAAATCTCTATGTAGGCCATACAAAGAAATACCAACTTTTAAAGTCTCACGATATACATTAAAAAAAATCTATATATAATGATTTAAAATGTTTTTTATGTGAATATGTCTCTTACCTCTTCTTGAGTGGCCTGAGGATGAAAGACTTTATCCAGCTCAAAGTTTTTGACTTTTCCTTTGCTTAAAACTATGAGTGCAGATTCATTATTGGGGTCTGTTGTGACAACTACTGCCTGGCCTTCTTCATGTTGATCTTCCTTCAGTACTGGTTTTACACGGCACAGCACACGGATATTACCTGGTGAAACAATAGTCTTGTTTGGCATTTTGATTGGCATACAATATATGGACTAAATTAGTAAAAATGGCAAACGCTACACACCTTTTAATTCAACCAGCTGCTCATGGTACTTCCTGCGGAGAGCTACCTCCTTCCTGTATTTTTCCAGAAGGTCTTTGTTGGCCTCTGACATCTCATTTATAGCTGCCACAATCTAGAGAACGATATTGTAATATTAGAAAACATCTCAATAACAAGACATGACTATACCGACTCTTGAACATGTAAATCATGGAACTCTTGAACAATTTTACAAATAGTACATTTAGAACAGGTTTGCATAGCATTAGATGTTTACTCACCTGTTTCTTGGCTTCTTTGATAGCTGATCCATAGAAGTCTGAAAAGTTTCGGACTTGACTGCGAAGACTGGCATAGTCAGTCTTCATGGATCGCAATGTAGGAGGAAGTGCAGTCAACCGCTTCTGGAGGGCTGGAAATTACACACATAAACATGCACTTAATACAATGTACTTAATACACTGGTCATTTAAAGGAACACTCCACTTTTTTTTGTAAATATGCTCTTCTTACAAGTCACCTAATGTTAAACAGTTGAGTTTTATTTTTGAATCCATTCATCATGTTTAGCTGAGATTAGCATAGGTTATTGAATCACATTAGACCATAAGCATTTCACTCAAAAAAAAGTAAAAAGAATTTTGATAATTTTCTTATTTAAAGCTTGACTCTTCTGTACTTACTTTGTGTTCTAAGGGTGTACTCACACTATGTACAGTAGCCTTGAACCGGGCTGAAGCATGCTTGTTCCCCCTCTCGTTTCCCCTGAAGGCCCGCACTCACATTGCATTAAGGCCTGAGCACGCTTACATCATCAATGATGTGCTGTTCAGTGTAAGATGTGCTCTCGCTCAGCACAGTAGACATTTCTTTAGTTATATCGTTTTAGTCATTTGGAATGCAGTGACACGCAGTCATATATTATTCCGAACAGATCTGCCACTTTTGATGCTCATAAACAATCATAAAGTCCTCGTACTGCAAGAATTAGGAGGTTTGCTGAAGGTGCAGCGAGAGGTTTGTAATAATCTATGACAGTTTGCGTTCATTGAACAGTACAAATGATTAATAAATCCATATGAAACAGTTCCCTAAAAGTCATGCTCGTCTTCAGTTTCGGGCCCAAGTAAACCACGCTCTGTCACACCACTTCCTACTGGGATAGGGCTGGCCAAATAAACTACGCCTGAGCTCGTTTCAGAGCACTCACACTTTAAAAACCGAAGTCTGTGGTCGTTAAAAATCCCAGAAAAAAAGTAGGGGTTGAACCCCGGCATCCTGGCCAAAATCTGGCCACAGGCCTCTGCCCATCATAGCTTCCTAACCATCCCCATATCATAATTGGCTTCATCGCCCTGTCTCCTCTCCATCAATCAGCTGGTGTGTGGTGTGCGGTCTGGTGCAATATGGCTGCCATCGTGCCATCCAGGTAGATGCTGTACACAGGTGGTGGATAAGGAGATTCCCCACATTGTGTAAAGCCCTTTGAGTGTCCAGAAAAGCACTATATAAATGTAAGGATTATTTTTTTTTTATATTTTTAAATTTTTTTATTATTATTAATCCAATTTAATGATGTTAAGCTAAGATAAAAGTGAAAGTAGGCCTGTGGTGCTTTTAACAACATCCAAGTGCACACTCATTTTTTTTTTGTATGAGGAGTGAGAGTACACACAAATAGACACAGTGATCATACAGCTGGAGCAGTGGGCAGCTATTAGGGCAACTATTAGCAATTAGAGGTTAGGTGCCTTGCAAAGAGTGCAGTTGATTCACTGCCTGATTTTCAGTTCTTTTCAGTTTAGTTCCAAAACCTTTGGCTGGATTCAATTCTCATGAATTCAAAAATGGTAAACCAAAATTCATTGTCTAACCAGCGTCCAAGGACAATGTTATTTATATGTCCAATAACAATGTGAAATGATGTGATATGTGGTTGATCATTGTGTGTAAAGATTTTGGACATCTTCTTGGACATTTTTTAATGCTTCCAAACAGTTTGCTGCAATTATAAAGTGCTCATGTCTTGAGGACTGTTTTTTTAAATCCTCGTAGACAAAAAAATAAATAAAGTAGTGACTCCTGTTTGAAGGAAAGTAGTGGAGTAAAAGTACCAATACAGCACAAAAAATGTACTCAATCTAAAGTAAAAGTACACATTTTTATAACCACTTAGTAAATTACAATTCCTGAGAAAAACAACTCAATTATAGTAGTTTGAATATTTTAAATGTGTTACTTTACACCAGTGGTCACCAAACTTGTTCCTGGAGGGCCGGTGTCTTGCAGATTTTAGCTCCAACTCTAATCAAACACACCTGAACAAGCTAATCAAGGTCTTACTAGGTATACTTAAATCATCCAGGCAGGTGTGTTGAGGCAAGTTGGAGCAAAACCCTGCAGGGACACTGGCCCTCCAAGACGGAGATTGGTGACCCCTGTTTTACACCACTGAAAATGAGTCTAATTAAAAAAAATTTAAAAAAAGTGTATACGTGTAGTGTATACGTGAACTCACTTGTGAACTGGTCCTGCAGGCTCTGCAGATGCTCCTCAGAGCAGTTAGCTGCTGCTTTCACAGCTGCCTCTTTCTTTTCCTCAAGATGTCCGATCTCCTTCAGCAGCTCCTCCCGCAGTGTCCCGATCTCCCTTTCATATGCAGCAATCTGCAGAGCTGATACTTTTTAGAAGAGCGGAGGTTTTCTGCAGTTCTGACATGCACTGTTTAATTCATGAGTTTTGACGTTTATACCATATGTGCATTCATAAAGAGAAATGAATAATGATTAGAAACCTTGTGTTGCAAATTGCAGCTGACTTCATCCGAACGTCTGATGTTCTCCTCCAGCTGCCGGCATCGATCTCTCTGACTGCTCAGCTTCTCAGAAAGTTGTTCATTCTGTTGTTTGGCTTCAGAGAGTTGGCGAAGAGTCGAAGGTGACTCGACCTCTACAGTTTGGGTAACATACTAGAAGATAGACAAAAGATATACAAATTACTGAAGGACTAATATCATGTTTATGCTCCGCCACATACTCAGGGTTAACATTACTACACTTTTAAATTTTGAGATTTTTTTTATACTATTCACAGATCTGTTGTTTATATTTATGAGTTCTCCACATTATTTATGTTTAAATTCTTTTGTGGTTAATTCATGTTAACATTTCGCTGAGCTTCATATTATATTAATTTATTCTTTCATTCATTTTCTTTTTCAGCTTAATTCCTTTATTAATCAGGGGTCACCACAGCGGAATGAACCGCCAACTTATACAGCATATATTTTATGCAACAGATGCCCTTCCAGCATTTTATTCTTTTTCCTTTATTTCGCTGTGCTAAGTACTCAGTACATAGTACAGTGACAATAAAGAATCTTGAATCTTTTGAGAGAATGTAAAACATTTTTGAGTTGCATTTTTCTTACTTTAACCACAGGCTCCTTGTTGCGTTCTTTGTCCAGTTGCAGCTGCAGCTCTCTCACTCTCTCCTCTCGTCTCCTGATATCTTCTGCCCTCGTCCACTCG